CCACCTGGAGGACCATCCTACCTGGGGTACGGCCCTCGGACCATCCTACCTGGGGTACTGGCCCTCGGGGCGCCTGCACCCCACTTGGGTTTGCTGTAGTCTTACATCTCTGCCTGAGTATTGGCTTTGTAGCATTTAGCAGTGGTGGACCGTATGGGGACAGAAGAGAAGTTCTCTGTCTGCCCAGAGAGCTGATGCCAGCGGCTCGCAGGGACCCCCGTTTGGTTAGCACTGCTCAGAGCAGCGCTTGCTTGATAGAGTCCAGGGGCAGAACGTTCAAGGACTCTGTCCCCACAGAAAGTCAGGGGGTGGCGGGTGTCCCTACTGACTCCCATGGAGAGATGGCTCCCCAGCTTCATGTTGCCGGGGTGACTTTGGGCAAAGGACAAGTTTCCATCCGTGTCCGGGATCCAGGTGGGCAGACAGTCTGGCTGGGATCCTGCCAGCTCCACCCAGGAACCTCGCAGACTTGGAGGCAGTGTCTGTGGAGCCTCCTCTGCTCCGCCCTGACCTTGGTCAATAGAAGACAAGCCACCACCCTCGGCCCTTCCTCCTCCTGGGCCCTCCAGCTCACGAGGAGGGAGGAGACGGAAGTCAGGGACAGACGGAGGTGCACCTAAGCCAAGCCAGGGCATTTTCAGTTGCCTCATAGGCACGTGAGAGCTGAACATTGATTATGGCCTACCAGAGAAATGTGGATGCATTTGGCTTATGGTGGTAGTGAGGAAGGGTGAAAGTGCACTGACTGCCGAGAGATGAGAGAGTCCTCTCCCCTGGGGTTGCTGTTCATGAGTTCTTTAAGCTGTGGAGGGCGGAAACCTGGCCGAGAAGGCAGGCTCAAATATTTTGCACCAATAGCAAATGAAAGGTAAGACTGCACCCAGAGTTGGAAAAGGTCATGCACCTGGCTTCTTGGTCTGCCATTAGCTTTCACACACTTACCACAGGAAACCAAAGCCACTGCCATGGGGCCCATCCCGACTCGTGGTGCCCCCTACAGGACAGAGCGGAAGTGCCTCCTTCGGTCTGCAAGCCTGCAATCTTCATGAGCGGTTTTGAATCGTTGACCTGGTTGTTAGCAGTTCAATGTGTGACCCATGACCCCTTTCTTCCAAGGAGTCTACTGGGTGGGTGTGGACCACGAATCTCTCGAGACCAGCAGCCCAGTGCAAGCTGTCCCTAATCAAAAGGGGTGATGAAAACCCCACGTCATGAAAAGGGTTGGTTAAAGCGAAAATAGAAGATCGAGGAATGTTTTCCTTTAAGATGGAAAGTTTGTTAAAGCCGGACATGAGTACGTCCTGGGTGAACACCTGCGTGTACACGTCAGGAAACATACAGAAAGAAGTTTTCCCATCAGCAGTATTCACAATAGACAAAACTGGGAACCGCTCAAATGTCCTCAATGGTAGAATGAATCAACTGGGGATGTGCATGCTGAGAGTACCAGATGGTCCAGACCCAACACTGCGCCGAGCAACCAGAGACAAAAGCTCACCTAGTCGTGGTGCCACTCACATCCCGTTCAAAAGCAGGCCAGACGCATCGGAGATGATGGTGACCAGCTAGGGGTAATGGCTGGAGGGGCCTCGGGGGCTGCTAGATGTTTTGTTTCTTGATCCAGGTCCTGGTCAGCTGGGGTGTGTTCAGCCTGTGCCATTCCATTATGCAACTGTTAGGCGTGTACTTTTCTATAGATACATATCAATCATGTATTTATATGCATAAGTTTGAAGTATAAGAATGTAATTAGCCTTTCATTTTATTTTCCATGAACTTTTGGAAGCCATATCTGTATCGATTGATCAATCTACCCATCAATCGATCTATCTCCCGGGTGACACTGTCAGGTAAAGGAGGGACTGCTAACCACGAGGTCTGTGATTCAAACCAACCAGTTACTCCATGGAAGAAGGATGAGACTAGTTGCTCCTCTAAATACTTACAACCTTGGAAATCTGTGAGGTGCAATCTGGTATCTATATAATGCCATTGAGTCAGTTCTGATTCAAGTGATATATATATAGAATTTACTGTCACTGAGACAATTCCACTTCATACTGACCTTGTAGGGCAGTGTATTACAACCCCTTTGGGGTTCTGAGGCTGAAAATCTTACAGGAACAGAAAGCCTCCTCTTTCTCCTGCAGAGTGGCTGGAGGTTTCAAACTACTGACCTTGTAACCCAACTTGTAACCCACTATGTCACCTGGGCTTTAATAGATGGATGGATGGGTAGATAGACAACTAACAGATAGGTGATAGGAATTTCTCTCAAGAAAACGGCTCATGCAGATGTAGACACGGACAAGTTCAAGTCTGTAGGTCCGGTGTCAGGTGGGAGGCATCTCCTGACCCGGGTAGCTGCAGGGCCTGACCAATCCAAGATTGACAGCTCAGACAGTAGGCTGCTGGCTCACAGGAGGCTGCCCCATAGCCCAAAGCAACCTCGCGGACCACAGAACCAAGCATGACCTGCTCCTGGTCATCCCTGTGTCAGCCCACCGTGCTGAGGGTCTTCTCCACAGGCTGCAGAGCCTGACGAATCCCCGGAACCAGAGGTCAGGTGGTGGTGCCCTGAGTGCAGGATCCAGAGCAGATCAGAGCTACGCTGGAACGTCAGTGACACTCTGGAGGCAGGCCACACCCCGACACCCCCTTTTCCACTGCTCGGCTGCTCGAAGCAGATCTCATGGTGGAGGGGATGAGAGTAAATCAGATCACAGCATGGGGGGTGGCACTCAGGGCCCGTGCATGTGGGCACACAACCTTTTAGCACCACGTTGCTGTCCGTGCTAAAGGTAGTGAGAAAGGCAAAATTGCTCATTACAGATTAGAAAGAAAGCACATGCTTACCTCGTGCTTACCTTGCTTGTTGGATCATCTGACAGTGCCTGGAGGGCTCAGGGAGCAGGTCTGGGCAGGCTGCTTGATCTCTGCCCACAGTGGGCACTACTGTGCTGCAGTACCTGGCAGTTGCCCTCCCCATGCCTGCCTCACTCCACCTACCCCCTAGCCCTTCACCTATTTGCACAAGACTCAGCGCAGGCAAGGAGCACAGCTGGGCTCTGGAGTCACACCAACTTAGCTGTGTGGCCTTGGGGAAGTTACTCAACCTCTCTGGGTCACAGGGACTTTCTACTCACGCGGTCAAGAACAACCATTTAAAGGGGTGAGAGGAGTGTAGCTAGGGTGTTGGATTCTTCCCGTGCCCCAAAGAGATTGTCGTGCCACTTTGGAGACGAGCAGTCAATCCTCAGCCTAAGTCCTCAGTCCTAACTTGTGCAACCTGGCATCTTTCAGAACCTTCTCTCCTGATGGACTATTCACTGACCTCTGACCTGTAGACCGGTGTTGCCCTGTCTTACTGCTATGTCTTTCTTCTCAGGATCATTTCTTTCATCCCCCATTCAATCCCCACTCACCCTGCGGGCTCTGGAAACTTCAGGAACTCTTGCAAAGCTATTTTCATGTCCCTCCTTCATTCAACCCGTTTTACTGACCACCTACTGTGATGCTGGGCACTCCGGCTCTCAGCCTCCTGCCCTTCCTCTGGCCTCAGGCCACCCGCAGCCAGCGTGAACTGCCTGGCCACAGCCGCTCTCGGGCACTGATCTAGCCATGGCGGCTCGTGGGATCCCGGGGCCTGCGTTGTCTGCCAGTACCCGTCAGGATACACCGCACCAGCTGATAGAAGGAGTGGCTCCGGCTCCTTGGTGGTTACACACAGGGCGGGTTTGTTTCTTGCTCTTATTACAGGCTAAACATAAGGCGTTTGGTGCTTCCTTCTTCGAAGCGGATGGCCGATTCTGCTCAGTCTGGTCGCTCTGCTGAAACCTGCCCACGTTGGGTGACCCTGCTGGCATTTGAAATACCAGGGACTCGCTTCCAGCAGCACAGCAACACTCAAGCCGCCCCAGTGTGACACACCGACAGACCAGTGGTGGTGGTGGTCCTTGGGGCCGGAAGTCAGGAGGCAGGCAAAGAGGAAGACCCTCGACACGAGGGATAGACACTGTGGCTGCAAACCTAGGATCGAACCGAAGCAGCCTCGTGAGCGTGGCCCAGGGCAGAGTCCCTGTGGGTCGGGCACTGACACAGTATCCAGTAAGGCGGGTGGGTGACCTTCCTCCATGCGGACACGGGGAAGGCAGCTTGTCTTCCTATGTGCCCACTGGCCCCTGGCCAGCTGTTCTGTGAGCTTCCTGGGGTGGGGTGGGGTGGGGTGGAGCAAGGACCCCCATACCACTTTCCTTAGGTTTCTCTCAACCTCCCCTGCCTCCCGATCCACCCTCCCCAATGCATCCACCAAGAGGCCTGGGCCTGTGTCTGGTCAGTCGGTGCCCCACAGTCATTTACCATCTGGCGGGAGTCCGGCAGGAGGAGGAGGGCAGTTGGGGGAGAGACAGGCCCTTATTCCTCTTTGAACATCACTGATTCCTGAGACCTTGAATGGAAAAGGTGATGATTCCAGAGAATCTTTGCCCTTACTAATATGACTGTCATTAAAAAAAGGAAAATCACAACTCTCGGCAAGGTAGTGGTTATGTGCTGGGCTGCTAACCACAAGGCCAGCAGTTCAAATCCACCAGCTGCTCCTGGGGAGAAAGATGAGGCTTCCTGCTCCCGTAGAGAGTCACAGTCTGAGAAACCCACAGGAACAGTTCCCCCCCACACCCCGTGCCCTGTTGGGTCACGTGATGAGTCAGGATAGACTCCATGGGAGTGAGTTTGGCTTTGCTGCTGGGAAGATGAGATGATGTCCTAGTGGCTGCAGACAACCGTTCAAAGGCCGCTAAAACAATGAACCGTAAGATTACTCTCTGACCTAGCAATTTTACTCTTAGATAGGAGCCCACAAAGGCTTAAACGCAGGCACTCAAAACATGGCGCTATGCCCTGGGAGCTGGAGAAGCCACATGGACCTACCCTGATGCAACCAGACTTCTGGAGCCAAGGAAGCCACACAGAGACTCCTGCCAGTGCTGAGATGCTTACAACGCCACTGGATCTACAAGACCTCCAACCCACTGGCCTGTGATCTTCCTGCATTCGGCATGTATTTCGTGAGTCTGAAGAGGAATGTGTACATTGGTATAGGACGTATGAGCTGATATCGGACTTAGGGACTTGATCTGAACTGGACTGGGACGTTTTCTCGATATTCAATTGCTCTTGTATATAAACCTCTTTTGAATGATGAGGGAAACAAACGTACAAATGTGCTTGACACAATGGATGTATAATGGATTGTTATAGGAGTTGTATGAGCCCCCAATAAAAAGATTTTTAAAAAATAAAACAAAGAGCAAATATTCATATATATATATGTATATATATACATATATGTACCTCTTTCTTATATACATATGAGTGTCTATGAATTTGTTTCTCTAGTCTACCCAGACTAACACAGCAATGTTCAATGCAGCTCGGTGCAAAAGAGCTAAAAGGGGGCAGCCATCGAGGCTGCCCATCAACAAATGAGGGGATACATAGAATGCGGACCACCCACATCATGGACTACGAGCCAGCCGTCGAGAGGAGTGGGTTTGTAATACACTTGACAGCCTGGCTGAGCCTGGAGAACACTGGGCTGAGTGAAAGATGCCGGGCGCCGGGGGACAGAGAGTGCCCAGCTCCACGCAGACGAGGAGCCCAGACCAGACGGATTCAGGGACAGAGCTGAAGAAAGGCCGCAGGAAGCTGCAAGGGCAAAGTGAGGGGGACTGCAGCAAGGAGGAGGAGCTGCTTTCAAAGGCGATAAAAGAGTTCTGGAAAAAATGCTGCAGGTGAGGGGCCTGAGAGTGGGAAGCCACTTAAGTGCCCAATGAAAAGTGGTCAGAGTAAGAAGCATCGAGGCATTTGACCAGCACCGGAGACGGATATTGAAAGGGCTGTTTGCTCTCTTGACTGTTGCTTCCATGAACATGATCTCATTTGCCCTTACATTCTGTGATTTAAAGAGGTTCTAATAGTTCACCCACAGCTTGATCCAATCCATGGTAACATTTTAAATCTTCAATTTAAAAAAAGGAACAAAAAAAAAACCGATCAGAATGATTTATATTATCTATCTTTTATCTCTGGGGAAGGCCAGCCTTCGTGCTGGGTAGAAGGTCAGCAGAGAAAGAGGAAGACCCTTGTGCTGGGCCAAGTTGTCTAATCATCACCAATCCAGGGACACTCCTCTGGGTGTTAGAAAGAGCTGTCTCTCCAGACGCAATCCCGTATCAAGAAGTCATCCCAGGCAGTCTAACGTAAGTCTGTAAGTTCGATGCCTGTCCCTAAGTCCCTCTTCACACTCCTGTAGCCGCAGGCCGGTGACCCGGAAAGGTGAAGCAGGAAGCAGGAAGACCCGAGGCTGGTGGGTGTAGAGTCCAGTGGGTCCCAGGTGAGTGGAAACACAGCAGGGTGCCGACAGCTCTCAGGGTTGGGCGGTCCCCATGGGGCCACCTCTAGAGGCAGGCAGAATCCCAGCAGGCAGGAAGGCAAGGGGCAGAGAGAGAAATTCTTGGTTTCTCACCTTATCAGAAGGTCACGTCCCCAGTGAGGTATCATCAGGCTGTGACCGGATTGACAGGTCCACGTTCCATCCCTACACTGTCACACAAATTCAAACTGGCATACAGTGACGCAACCCCAGCCCTCAGGGATGACAGCGCAGGGCCAGCGGGCATCTCTTTCCGTCACCCACAGGGTCACTACGAGTTGAACCCAACTTGAGAGTACCCACCCCCACCCCCAC